TTTCTTCCTTTGGCACTTTTTCTGGTGCTTAGGTACTAAGTGGAGATTTACTAACACCCTATGCAATAAAGGGCCAGGACTAATAAAGCCTATATGTATGCTGCAGAATTAGGTGATTAGTAACTTTATCTCCTCACTTACTTAGGCTTGGGACTATTTAGTATTCGGTATTTATTATTATTTGGAGTCAGTTTATTTTTGTGTTGTTACTTTCTGTTACTTCAGATATTTAGTGGTCTCCCTCTGGTTACATTGTTCCATACCTCTGGATGCTTTGGTGCCTACGTCTTTATCTCCAGTCAGCATTATATTCAGTGTGTGAATTATTGCTTTTTTGTTTCTGTTGCTAGTATCTAAGGTTACTGGACATTGCTGGAGTGCCCTCCTGGTGCATGGGATCAGTGTGGAGGTGGTATTTATTACCCTTTACACCCATTTTCACACGGATCCCATTTCTTTCTATTTTTATTTCTAGATACACAGATATGCACATTGATACACAAACAGATTTACAGACACATATACACACACTGACACACAGATACACAACCTGACACATATGAAGATACACAGACACGCACACAGATATGTACACACATATACACATATTGACAACATAAATATACATACATTGATAACATATAGACACACATACACATCCTGACATACATTCACACATGCAGATACACACACAGATACATACAATGATAACATATAGATACACACACAGATACACAGGCACATATAGTGACAGACATACTGACACACACACACAGACATATGCTGACAGAGTTTCCATTTGATATTCTGTTCTACTTTATGTTCTTACTTGCCTTTTTACAATTTTGAGAACTGCTTTTTATCTTAATTTGTTGTTCTTCTATGCATATCTTGACAGTTACCTTTCACTACCTTGGCACCAATTTCCTTGTGATTCTACCGCCCCATCCTCCACTCAGGGATCATGAAGTTTTGCTATAAGGCTAACTATATGCATCCAAGCCTGTTGGCTATACATATCTTCTATTTCTCGACAGACTAGTTACATGTTGTACCGGACCCTGGGTAACCCGACTGGATACCTCCGCTATTAATAAATGGGCAGACCCATTTCCTACCCAGTAACTGGACGACACACAGTTCCAGGGGTACAACAACTTTATTGGCCACATGCGGCTTTATACTTTCCCCATGCAAGGGGTGGAACACACCCCTCCTAGGGTCGTATAATGGAAACGGAGCTCCAGTTTCTTTGTCCCCTGTTCCCGCCACTCAGTGTCCCCTCCCACTCCCAGGGGTCCCCTGACGGAAACGGAACTCCAGTCTCTTTGTTCCCTGTTCCCGCCACTTAGTGTCCTCTCCCAGGGCACTTTCCCTACCCGGGGTCTTCTTCCCAGAGGTCTCTGTATCTGGGGGTCGTAGCGCAGGAAACTTCCCACCTGTTTACCTCCTAGTGACAGAGAGCCAACCTCTGCCATCTGCCAGGATGTCCCCACCAATCTCAGGGACCCCCAGAATGGTAACCGCCACGAACAGCCACCGTTTGCAAGGCAGGGGAAGCATCTCCTTTCAGGACATAAATGCTCCCCCTTTCTTCTTCAGATATGCTGCATTTTGTACAGGATGGCTTGGAAAGGGCCATATTTAAACTATTATTGCATTTACAGGAGTCAAATAAGTACAGGATCTTGATGTCATCCAATTTCAAGACAGCCCTTCTGGTGACATTAGCTTAGGAGAGAGGATTTCATTATTAGATAAATCATGTATCTTAACGTATTTACAAGGTTGTTTTACGCAAAGTCCTTGAATGCAGACCCAAGGTAGTGTAACCTTTTCACTTCAATGAGGACATTATTCTTCCTGATTTAACTGCTTCTCTGGAGGATCCATCAAATCTGGGTAAAATAGATCTAGTGAGATATCTGTCCATTTTTTTTTTACAATGCACTGAACTCTTGCGAGGATCCTGTAGCCTGTTTGCCATTCCATCAGGCCACAAGCAATATCTACTGCCTGCAAGTCAAGAGAGATTCCTATCGCAGAGGCCTCAGAGCTCAATGCACAAGGGCATTATTGTTATCATGGTCAACTGCGACCAGTGTAACTCCTGACCAGATCTGTCGTGTGGGGACTTGAACCTCAAGGATATTACCCATGAATGAATACTGCCATGGTATATTATCAGGCAAGTTAAATATCTGTAAGTATTAATTAATTTTCCTGTTTATGAATAAGATAGGGTCAAGGGAAAAATGGTTGGGAGTGAGGAAATAAAAAAAACAACTCTTCCTTAGTAAACAGAGGGGAAAAGCTACAGGACACTAGGTACTATTGCTATTTTATCACAATTAAAGTGCCGTGACTTCTTTGTAGCCATCCACTCTGTTTAGAGTTAAACCATTTTTGAGGTATATTGGCTGTCCAACTGGCCGCAACTGGAGGTATGGCTAAGGCAGAGGTTACACCAGGGCTCGATAAATCCCAGGCACCTTGATGTTTGTCAGCCCTTTCTACTAAGGTGGCTGGCCAAGAGAGAATGGAGGTGGCAGGATTTGGAATATGACATCACTCCAGCCCCGGCATCACTAAACAGCATGCAAGGAAGCAAAGTAACAACGGCAGGAAGATTACAGCAGCCTCACTGGACCCCAGGGAAAGGATCCATTCTAACTCTCCCAAAAGTAGGGAGGCTAGATGAACTTAAATTAAAAAAACACCAATAATTTGTGAATTCATGAGTGTGTCTGTTAGTGAGTGTGTTTGTGAATATATGTCTCTATCATTGTGTCTGTTTAGGGAACCCCCTTCGATCGCATGGGATAGGTGTTTTTACTCACCTTGATTTTGCTGTGGCTGTCCCCGCCTCCATGGCTAAGATAATCAATCTTGATGAACCAAGCCATATGAAAGCAGTGGGAGGCTATTGCTCATGCGCCGCAAAACACAGTGCTGCTCCAATTAGCTTCTCCCCGTAGAGATGCATCTCTATGGGGGAAAGCGAATTTGAGCAGCGCTGTTGGGAACGTTCAGCCCCTCCACGAAGGGCATGGAGACGCTGAACGTAGATGCTGCACTGGACTAAAAATCATCTCTAGTGGACATCTGATTTGACTTCACTAGAGGTGATAATTAAGCAGCAATGTAAACACAGTGACATTGAGTGGTTAGTGGTTCTGGTGACTATAGTGTCCTTTTAAGAATAGTATTTTTGTTGAAAATAAAACTTTGTTTAAAAAAAAACCAAAAAAAAAACTGGGTCCTAACTTTTTTAGCTGGCTCGTAGATGACAAGCAATTTTTTCAAGTCCTGGGCTACAACCTTTGTCAGTCATAAAAATTCATACTAGCAATGGGAGGCTGTGATAGGCTGAAAGCAGTCAGCTAAAGCTCTCAGCCCGTCACCACCGCTGCTCAGGCTAGTGCTTTCTCATAAGCCTGAGTGCTGGGGTCACTTCTGTGTCATTAATAAAATTACAACTTTGCGTAATTTTAAAGGAACTCTATAGAGTCAGGAACACAACCCTTTTGTGTTATAAAACACTATTTGGGTAACTGGCTCCCTTTACCCCCCCTTAATTAGGGTTAAATCTTACCATTATTCCAGCGCTGGCTCCACCCCTAATCTGTCTCGTTGGCTAAGATCATGAGAATTAACGATTCCTATGAGAAAGCATTGGGTTGTCTCAGATTGTCAATTTTGATGATCTCAGGCAAGGAGGCAGGGAATGTTTAGCATCTCCATGCAGAACGTGGAGACACTGAACGTCAGTGCAGCATGTTGTGCATCACTAACCCAAAAAGCATCTCTAGTGGCCATCTGAGTGACTGCCACTGGAGGTGACCGTAAGCAGAAATGTAAACATTGCCTTTTCTACGAAAAGGCACTGTTTATATGAAAAACCTGCAGGGACTGACTATACTCACCAGAACCACTAACTTAAAGGGACACTATAGTCACCAGAACAACTACAGCTTATTGTATTTGTTCGGGTAAGCATAATCCTTCCATTTAGGCTTTCTTGCAGTAAACACCGTCTTGTAAGAGAAAATGCAATGTTTACATTAGAGCCTAGGGCAGGCATAGGCAACCTTTGGCACTCCAGATGTTTTGGACTACACCTCCCATGATGCTTTGCCAGCATTATGGGTGAAAGAGCATTATGGGGAATGTAGTCCACAACATCTGAAGTGCCGAAGGTTGCCTAACCCTGGCCTACGAGTACATCCACTGGCCACTTCTCAGGCTGCTAGAGGTGCTTCCACTGCCATTTAGTGTATCTACCCTCTGCATGGAGACACTGAACTTTCCTCATAGAGATGCATTGATTCAATGTATCTCTATGAGGAGATGATGATTGGCCAGGGCTGTGCTTGGCTTGTACTGGCTCTAACCTCGATCTGCCTCCTTGACAAGCTCAGCGAATCCAATGTGAAAACTCAGAACACAACTTCTGATGATGTCAGCCAAGCAGGCAGATCAGGGGCAGAGCCAGCAGCAGCAGACTGCAATAAAGGTAAGATTTTGCTATATTTAGGGGGGCAAGATGGTGTTTTTAACACTATAAGGTCAGAAAATACATGTTTGTGTTCCTGATCCTATAGTGTTCCTTTAAGCGGTATTTGTTCTGGTGGCTATAGTGTCCCTTTACTAGTAACATTTGTTAAATTTAAACTGAATTGTTTTTGAATGGGCACATGGTCTTTTATCCTACTGGATTCAATATCATCAAGAAAGGTATGTGGTGTGTAGGAGAGAAGTATTTTTGAGCCAAGGTGGAGACAGTGAGCCATGAAAGATAGGCTAAAGAACTGTAAGAAACATCAGGAATCTGAGTGGAGACTGGTGGGCAAAGGCTGGCCTAAAGTGGCTCTGTCACCTCAAGCATAGAAGATGCACTATGGCTTGCAAGCTGTAACATATGTAGTTTTGCTTGTTAAGAAAATCTATAGGTCATACTTCATTATGTTAAAAAAAATCCCTGAATGCAAAGGAGGTGTCTAGAAGTGCTTTCATTGGGTAGCATTATAGAATGGACACTGCAAAATAGAAATAATACATGATGTTACATTTTTATGTACATTATACATATCTGATGTGATAATCCTGGATTCAATTATGAACAAGTTGATTCAGAACAGTTACAATACTTGAACAGCCTTTATCTGGGATTGAAGAAATTTCCTTCTGATATGATTTGGTTGCACTTTTTAATTACTGTCACTTGAAAAAGATAAAATCACGCAACTGTATTTATATCTGTCTATATCTTGTAATAAATCCAGGAGAACTCAAGCCTTCCAAAGTAGTCCTTCTTTTCACTGCCTATTGGGTGGTGTCAACTTGCAGTTGTCATGATCAGTTCCATTTTTCCTCTCTAATTGTGTAATTATCGAGCAAAGTTTTGTTATTGTGTGCCTTTGTCTTTGTACTCGCCTTTGTAAAGTTTTTACTCTTCTTCTAAGGTTCATTGTAGAAGGATTCAAGCATGAGCTATGTCTGTCAATTATGTTTTGTACTGCAGAGTATGTATGGTCTACAAATCTATGTGTTTCTTTTTCTGGTATGTCATCCTGCACCACCATGTCAATGCATGATACTGCTTTTTCCATCATCCCGTCTTTGACATTTTTCCTTTGCCTCTTCTGTTTCATGTTAAAAATGGAAGGCACTGCATGGGGTCGCAGTCGCGGAATTATGTCTCCAGGACGTCGCACATAATCCTTGTTAGAAAAGTGATCTACACAGATTCTACTTCTAACTGAAGGTTTCCAGTGTCCCCGTTGAATTGCTATAAGCCATTTGGAAAGCTGTTCAGAGTTTTTCATTGGAAACCTGAAAAATATTGAAAAGCAGATTGCCTTCATTAGAAATAAAATATGATTGTAAGCACATTTCATAGATTAAAGGTCAGCTAATTACTGTTGATAAAATCACACACAGTCACATACTTAAAGGGACACCGTAGGCACTGTATCTGCTTCATTTCATTAAAATGGTTATAGTGTCTGGAGTCCCCTGGTACTATCATTTCTTTCAGCATTAAACAGTTTTTTAAGGTGTAATGTTTTAATGCTAAACAAGAGTCCATGGCAGTCTATCCCCTCTGTGCCGCTTTGGCTAATAAGGAAGTATTACCCTGAGAGGCAATGGGCAGCTGTGATTGGCTGAGTGTGTCAGCTGACTGCTTTTAACCTGTCAGAGCTCCAACTGACGGTATGAATGGGTATGACAACAAGGAAGTGTAAAATCTCTGCCTTAGCTACACATACAGAAGGGGCCGGACTGTGGGTGGCCAGGGACTCTTATTTTGTGGCATACTGCACAAACATGGTGCAACACTGAATGGAGACAGAGACAGTGGTTATAGTGACTACAGTGTCTCTTTAAGTACATATATAAAAATAAACAGAATAACAAACATACACATATACTGTCACATACCTGCATAGACAGACACATAGTCACATACATCCATAGGTACGCAATCACAAATACTGACATATTCATTTACACTTTAACACACAGACTCATTCATACATATATAGATACACACATAGTCAAATACATGCACAAGCCCACACACATAGTAACATAAATATAAAATATAATGTGTTGCAAAAGTATTCAGACGCTGACCCAAATCTTACTGAAAACAAACTATTTATATAACTTTTGTCTTGTGTGATGCTTTATATGAAAACATTTAAACTCAAAAAAAATGATTTTAAAGTGTAATTGGTTTAAAATTGAAAAATAATTTGAAGAAATATAAAAAGCTAAAACACGCAATTTGTAAATATATTCAGGCACCTTTCTCAGGAAGCTTCATGTTTACATGCCTGAACAAATGCCCTAATGGCAATACAATTGCCTGCGAGACATTAGAGTAATGAATAAATGCCCCACTCCAGAAAAGAACAATTAATCTGGCTGCAGATCTGAAGAAAACTGTGACAATTAAGAAGAAAGAATTCTACAGCAGTAAGAGATAGAATACTCAAATTACATCAGTTAGGAAAAGGGCGCCAAGTAAGTTCAAAATGTTTCATATTTCATTAGCAATGCTGCCGTATAGGCCCAAGTTTAGGCCTGACATGAATTTAGACAGTCAGTTGCAACACCTAGCCACATACTTACTAAACAATGAAGGCTCAAAAAGTACATGAATACCCAGGACAGACACAAAACTTTAAAATGTAGAGTAAAACCTTACATTGCAGGGTGACTAACTAAAATGCATATGGTAAAAGTCGATATGGCCTAGTGTGGGCCAAATACAGTAAGCAGAATGAGGCATTGCTGCCAAATACAGTAAGCAGAATGACGCATGCTATGTACGACTGAAATAGGCTGAATTTGCTTTATTTGTAAAATTTGCCATATCCGAATGGCTGAACAAACAAACTCACGGTTTTGTTAAAAAAACAACAGTTATAGAAGCCATGACTGGGCTGGACATGGCAGTGCCCCATGAGCTTCTAGTTAGGCGGCTGTTTACTAGAGTGAGGTAAAACAAATACTTGCTTGGGCCACACTAAGCCAAGACCAGCTTGTTTGGAGTTTAGGCAGTTTGTGTTGATGACCTTTGAACTGGAAGTAGATGGTTCTGTACTGAACCAGACAGTCTCATCAGCCTGCAGCTCGTCAGACCAATCACGGTAGGGTAGGGAAGGGGGAGTCCCTTTTAAAGGTCCATAAACCCCTCCCACAACTTCAGGCCAAGCCTTCCAATATATATATATATATAAATCCAAATAGGTTATAGTGGGGAAAAATTGTGATTGAAAACCCCTTCCACCTGAAGTCTGTGGATAGTTAATACAATGTTAAACAAAAATCTGCACACCAGTCAAGCCATAAGACTTGCTTTTCCCACAGAAATCCCAAATCTGCAGTGATGTTACAATTTTTCCCCACCATAACCATAAAATATTTGGATTTTGCTTCCCAAGCACTACCAAGCCTCAATAAGCAAACCAGTAACCAACCTCATGCTGATGAGTTGCATTAACAACGAAACAGCTGTCCTTGAGTGGTTCACTGGTAACATAGAAACATAGAATGGGACGGCAGATAAGAACATCTAGTCTGCCCAATTTTCTAAATACTTTCATTAGTCCCTGGCCTTATCTTATAGTTAGGATAGACTTATACCTATCCCATGCATGCTTAAACTCCTTTACTGTCTTAACCTCTACCACTTTAGCTGGAAAGCTATTCCATGCATCCACTACCCTCTCAGTAAATTAATACTTCCTGATATTATTTTTAAACCTTTGCCCCTCTAATTTAAGACTATGTCCTCTTGTCGTGGTAGTTTTTCTTCTTTTAAATATGGTCTCCTCCTTTATTGTGTTGATTCCCTTTATGTATTTAAATGTTTCTATCATATCCCCCTGTCTTGTCTTTCCTCCAAGCTATACATGTTAAGATCCTTTAACCTTTCCTGGTAAGTTTTATCCTGCAACCCAAGAACCAGTTTAGTAGCCCTTCTCTGAACTCTCTCTAAAGTATCAATATCCTTCTGAAGATACTGTCTCCAGTACTGCGTACAATACTCCAAGTGAGGTCTCACCAGTGTTCTGTACAATGGCATGAGCACTTCCCTCTTTCTACTGCTAATACTTCTCCCTATACAACCAAGCATTCTGCTGGCATTTGGCATGCCCCTCTGATGAGTAACCCAGACTAAAACATGCATGTCAGGGGCTCAGGAAGCCTAGCTTGACATTCCTCTGCTGCTGCACTTATTCAGCCACGGTCTGACTAGCGATCTTGCTTTTACAACTAGGCATTCTTTTTACTTGTCCTATCCTCTGTCTCTTTATTCCTTTTTGGGGGGTTGAGTTATATAGTATAGGCATTTATTAAGGGGTGCCCTCGAAGGCACTTAGTTTTTCTATCTTACAAGCGTCAGGATTACCTATATTTCCTACATCTCTATTTATCATTGCATCTAAACCTAGCTTGTTATTGCCTCCTATACCTCCCTATTTACAGGTATTCTCTGCCTCTTTTCTATTAACTATTGCAACCACATTGGTATGCTGTTTAACCTCTTCTGTATTAGAAATACTTCATCTATATACAGCAGACCCTGTCCTGCAGGAGGAGTTCAGAGGATACTAATACTCCACCCTCCCATCTTGAACATTGTTTATAGCAAGTGGCTTCACTTTTTACTATTTAAGCGTCAGGATTACCTATAGTCTCTATATTTCTACTGACCATCATATCTAACCTATCTTGCAACTGTCTCCTATACCTCTTTATTTTATAGGTATTCCCTGCCTCTTTTCTATTAATCATTGCAACCAACTATTGTGCTGTTTAACCCCTTGTGCACTAGAGGCATTTCATCTATATTCAACCGACCCTGTTCTGCAGGAGGAGTTTAGAGGATACTAGTATCCCACTTTTCTATTTAGAATTCAGTCACATTGTTCATAGCAAGTAGTTTGACTTTACACCAATAAGTATTTCTTTGAAGCAACACTTCTCTTGCTATTGGTTCTATTGGAGGTTTAATACCCCAACTAGTTTATAGGACATATTATTTTGTAGCCTTGTGCTTTTTGTTTAGCTTTTATCTTTTCTATTTTACATTTTAATATATCCATTAAAAGTTATTTTTTATGCTCATTTCATTGTGACTATATTTACCAAAATGTTGAGACACTCTATGGTAGGTTTTTTCTTTTCATTTCTGTATTCATATGGAATGATCTAGTAAGTCTAAAGTTTAACTTCATACCGATATTGTCACAGGACCAGAAATAAACAGTTTATGCTCAAAAATGCAAATTTCATTGAGTTTAACCCCTTAAGGACCAAACTTCTGGAATAAAAGGGAATCATGACATGTCACACATGTCATGTGTCCTTAAGGGGTTAAATAGATTAGTATGAAGACATGGATGAAAATCCCTTCATACTTCTGGTAAAAACTGATTCATCACTAAAGGAATATTTAGATATTGCCCGTAAAGGTATTGTAATCTGTTTTTCAGTCTAAAGGGATGATTACGTTTTCACACGGTGGCATTATATGTGGCTTTTAACAAATAGATTAAATTAAAATGTCCATGTTCATTCATTCAAAATCACTTTTATCAAACTATAGTACTAAACTACACAGGTTGGCAAAGTTTCTTTGGTTAATTATTGCTAGATTAATAGTTGTACTATGATACTTAGCGAATATTATATATAATATTAGAATATTGATTACCTGAAAAAATGTTTGCCACTTCCTTTAATATAAGCATTTTTGCAGCCCTTCACAGCACATATATTTGACATTTGTCTGTTCTTAAGAAAACATGCAATCTAGTAAAGTAAAGACAAAGAGAAAGAATTATCAGTAAACAATAGTGCGGTACAGAGTTTCTTACAAGTATTTCAAACTGTGAACAAGGGGTATTGCTGATGATCCCAAGGAATACAATTTACATAGCTGCCATGAAATATAATTTTCTGCTTCAGCAGGACCAAATAAATAAATAAGAGTGCTTAATCACCAGGGGCTTTTAATCTTGCTAGACATTCAATTTTATTTGTGCAGTATTTACAGCAGGATTCCTGAGTTATGTTCTAATTTAATACCCCCAAGCTGATAACAATATATTTGTATATAAGCATGATCAAATATATTCATATCAATCATCATTATGTGGGTTATTTTATTAAACACAGAGGTTTTCTTAATTATATAGGTAGTTTAAACTGGCACATGCTGCTATGACGTAGACCCAACTTGGGTCTGAGAGTATTCCGCAACTTCACTTATCAACAAACAGATCAGAACTTTCACAAAATTGTGCCCTGAGAAGTGGGCACTCTTAACACCATAAGATCCCTAATGCTGTCCAGAAGTATTGTTATATCATTTTTTTTAATGCTTTGACACTTACCTGGTTACCACAGCCATGATCCTTAGACTTCTGATATCATTAATGCAGAACTTTGCATTCAGCATCAGTTATATCAGTTTTGTCCAACTTTGGACGAATCAATGAATGAGGAGCCCATGAATGATGTATGAAATTGGACAAAACTGATATTGCTAAATTGAAGGGAACTTCCACTTTAGCGATGTCTAAAACCCAGGTAAGTGTGACATCTTTCAAATTTGGTTTGACTTCTCACTGTGAGAAGGGGCTAGGGAATTCATGGCACCATAACCACAACAATCAAGCTTTTTAGTGGTTATGGTGCCAGGAATTTAGGAGTTTAAACAGAGATTTAGGAGTTGTGCAATTTGTAATGAATAAATTATATGACAATATTCTGATTAAAAAGCTAGGAATAGTCATTTTGGATGCATTATGGCCACCTCAGACAACCAACACAGAATAAAACTGTGATAGTTAAGTCTCTAACTAGACTCTATGTAAGAAATCGTAGAACAAACTACAATGCTTCATTGTTTACATATAACCTTTTCATCTGCTCTCTTTATACACTGAAGTTTGAGATTGATCTTTTACACAAAACACGAGTGTTGAGCCCCATAGATACTTTAAAAATAGAACTCCTATTAAGGACGATGGTATTTTAGTTTAAAATACCTGGGAGGGTACAGTTTGACAACTTTGCCCTAAACCCTCAGGGTTTCTGTAATTCGGTTGACATGTGTATAGTATTTGAAGGTACATTCAATGCACATTAACCACTACAGCATAATGATGCAAAGAGACTTGATGCAGCTCTCTAGTTCTTGTCAAGCACCATAAAGCACTTGTGTCAGATTGCTCCCAATGAAAAGGCTAATAGGGTACTGGCCACAACGATACTTCAGAACTAGCAGCTTCTGTTTGCACAATCTAAACACTGGTACAAACTTCCTCATTATTTCATCACCAACTAAAGGGATGGAACTGGGATCCTAGGGAATCATTTGTTTATTTCAGTCAAACGTTCTGAAAGTTTGACAGAAAATGGAAAGGAAATTTCCCCTACCCCGTAGCTTCCTTTGACTACAATCTGCTGTAATGGTAATGGTTCTTAGAGTGACCCTTAAAAGATGGGGTGTATAGATATATATCATGATGAGAATATATATGTATCTATGTAAAAAATAACTAACACTACCTGTGTATTGCTTGTTTCTGTTTGTTCCTTTTATTGCAGCTCTGACCCACAAGGTAGACTTGCCACAAAGGAGCTTGAAGCCTGATCTCCCACAGAGCTAACCTCTCTTTGCTTAGTCTGGTCAGGAAGTGACTGTAAGGGGACCACAATAAGGCTGTTGCTACATATGGTATCAATGTATAACAGTATATTAGCAGTATTAATATTGCCATAACAATTTAGTCATGAAATCACAGGAAAACAGCAGAACGTCTTTCGACATTTCTTTTAAATCTTATTCAAGACCGTTTACAATCCAGTTAATATGCGCAATAAATCCCTTGGATTATGCAATGTTGCAATTTACTGTTAGCCAACGGTCACTTTTACTTATCATCTCACTGAAAACACAACACTTTTCAGAAACATAGCTTTTGAAAACAACAAACCTGCTATACCATTTTTGTATAAACCCCCCATTCACTTTTATAAGTTAAATACACAATCTCCACTTGAAGGGTCATACAAAAAGTGCCTTGTTTACTTACATCACAGGTTGCACATTGAACCTAGAAGGTGGAGATGGGTTTGTGTTTTGTATAGGTTACCTGCTCCTTAAGATTAGTCTGTGTGTCTTCGTTTGTTACTACTGGCTGTTTGCATGATTCCTCCTTTATGTCATATTTCCTTCCAATCTCTTCTTGTAAATGATCAGATGATCTGTCAAAAATAGAGGGAACTGCATCGAGCTGTAGGTGAGGGATTTCAGCACCAGGATGCATGTAATCCTTATCTGTAAAATGATCACTGCAAATTCGACAGGAATCTGAAGGTTTCCAGTTTTTACCATCAATTGCTGTAAGCCACTTAGATAGGAGCTCAGGATCTTTTATGGGAAATCTAAAGAAGTAATTAATAACCACAATGTTTACAAATATAGTCAATAACCTAGAATGAAATTTGCCAATTTATGTGAAGTAGGAATACATTTCACGAATAGGAAATAGGAAGTAAATACTAAGTTAGCTATGAAACATTGAGAGAAAAGAAATATTAGAATGTGTAATTGTACAAGGTTTCTCATACACATTGTGAGAACCTATTCATTTCAGAACCTACTTTGCACTCACACAGTGCAAAGATTAAACAGTTTCACTCATTGTTACATGAATTAAGCATGTGGCTGCTGCACAAGCAATCTCACAAGCTACACGACAGTCTTTGTGAACACAACATGCAAGAGAAGTTACACATATTATTTGACAGGGTGGATAGCTGTAGGCAAAGCAGATTATGGGCTACACTCAGCGATATAACTACTAGATCTTATTGTCATGGTTATGATGTAAGGAGTCTTTGGGTGCAGTCCCTTAGGGCTCTCCAGGAAATCAAAGGCAAACGCAGAGAATCGTGGGAATCTTCTACATAAAAAGATGGATTTATATATGTAAAAAGATTTTGCTTTTTTTTTTATGATTTGCACAAGCCAATACCTCCTTCTTCTGCAACTATCTGTGGTCGGGTCTCCATCTAACTGACCCCCCTCTGGCTGTTACTGGATTACCCACTCTACAGTTAAAAACTTATGTCTGACATTTTTATTAATTGATTAGCTTTTAGATAATTGGCAATTTACTGATTTCTCTTTTAACTATTATGCTGACAGTTGCTTGGATGTGTTTAATAACTGTGTTCATTATTAAAAGTTCATCGATACCCATCTGGGGGGCCTAAGTGCTGGCCTGTAGTATTGGAGGCTGGGAGGAAGTGACAGCCTATCACTTCCTCCTAGACTTAGAGAGCGCTGGTGGAGCTGCTGCAGATTCCACACACCAGTACTCCAAGCACACCACCATCTTTATGTGCCAGTGTGTGTTCGTGTGTCAGTGTGTATGTATGCCAATGTATATATCTGTGTGTCAGTGTGTGTATCTTTGTGCCAGTGTGTGTGTATTTGAGCATGTGTATGTGCAAGTGTGTGTATCTGTGTGTGTGTGTCAGTGTGTATATGACAGTGTGTATGTGTCAGTGTGTTTCTGTTTGTTAATGTGTATGTATATCTGTGAAAGTACGTATGTGCAGACATCCCAGCAATCCAACAACAACACAACATGTAAACACAACCCTGCAAATACAAACATGACATACATAGACACCCCGGAACTCCAACTCCAAAATTGTATACAAACACTCAAACACAACCTTCACTCAAACACCAATACTACACACAAATGTACATCCACATTTAAAATCCAACACAACATTCAAACACACCACTGCACGCAAATGCAAACATTACATACAAACACACCTCTGTATTAAAATGCTAAAATTATATACAAACATCAACTCTACACACAGAAGCACACCTGATCCTAAGTACTACAATCTGTCTACTATCTATAAAAATGAGTGTATATATACCACAAAAAAAAAACACCAAAATATGCCAAAAAAGAAAACATTGTGCACTGTTAATTAAAAGGTGCTACGGCACAAAATATTTCAGGGGGGTTCCACCATTTTTGTATACTATGTCAAAGGGTTCCATGGTAAAAAATTAATTGGTTTATTGGTTTATTTCATATGACTGCTCTACTTGATTGGGAATAGAGTTGGAAACATTAGGGTCAGGAATCAGGAACTTAGGTTTAGGCAATGAGAATAGTGGTTATGGATTAGGGTTTGGTCTAATACCAGATCTAGACTATGCAATTGCATTTTTTCAGTGCGAGTTCTTGCTTGTTTGGAATTTGCATGCCCCTCTGCGTAAAGTGCGGCTAAAAGGGACATACCTGCCCTGGGTTACAGCTTGCCTCATTCAAATGTACCAGTTTAGAGATTCACTGTCATCAAAGTTCAAGCGTACTGGCTCCATGAACGATCACTCTACTTACAGACAATGTCAAAATGCATGCACAAAACAAAAATGGCAAAGGCCCAATATTTCAGTGAAAATTTGAACAACCTATCAAACCCAAGAAACGTCTGGAAAAAACCTAAATTGCATACAAACCCCCATAATCCACTCCCAACTCTCCACTGTCAAAATGGACAACCAAACACTGCAACACCCCGTAGATGTAGCAAATAACTTTAATAATTATTTTGTTGAATGTGCTACCACCCTGGTTGCTAAGATAACAAATTACACTCATTTCCAGACCGCAAATAAAGATCAGGACCTGCCAAATCTTCAAAATCCTCATACAGAGAAATTTTATTTTAGACCTGTGCCTGTTAGTGTCATTAATAAACATCTTAATAATTTTAAAATGAAAAACCAGTGTGGACCAGATCAAATCCCAGCAATATTGCTGAAGCTCAGTGCGCCAGCAATTGCTAAACCTGTCACTACCCTTATCAATAAATCCCTGGTGTCAGGATACATACCCAAACTTTGGAAGAGTGCAAAAGTTATACCTATCCATAAAAGTGGTGACAATACTTTGGTATCTAACTATCGTCCGATATCATTGCTCCCTGTATTGTCAAAAATCTTGGAAAAATGCGTCCACACGCAACTATGTGAATATTATCAACAATCAAATTATCTGACCCCTGATCAATCAGGCTTCTGTCCAAATCACTCAACTTCGACTGCCCTCTTAAAAGTTTGCAATGACATCCAAATTGGCATGGAACAAGGAGACTTAAAGGGACACTCCAGGCACCCAGACCACTTCTGCCCATTGGAGTGGTCTGGGTGCCAACTTCCACTACTCTTAACCTTGCAACTGTAATTATTGCAGTTTTTTATAAACTGCAATAATTACATTGCTGGGTTAACTCCACCTCTAGTGGCTGTCTACTAGACAGCCACTAGAGGGCACTTCCTTATTCATAGCAAAGATTGCTAGAGCGTCGCTGTGTGAGGACCTCCAGCGTCGCTCAATTCCCCATAGGAAAGCATTGAAAATCTTTTTCAATGCTTTCCTATCGGGAGACCTAATGCACGTGCGCGTGATCAGTCTTGCCCACCGGCTGACATAATTACTGGGAGGAGCGTCGCCGACCCGAAACCACCGCCGAGGGACATCAGCGGGGTCTCAGGTAAGTGACCTGAAGGGGTTTTCGCCCCTTCAGCTACCTGAGATGGGAGGTGAGAGGGAGAGGGTTGTTTTCCTGGCACTGGAGTTTCCATTTAACTGGAGCTATTTTCCTTGATTTTGCCAAGGCCTTTGACACAGTAGACCATGGCATTCTTCTGCAAAAACGTAAAAACTCATCATCCGCTAACCTGGTTTCGATCGTATGTTTCAGACCGATTGCAATACGTGGCCATTTCTGGCAAAGATTGGTTATTACCAGATATTATTTTTGTCACAATCCTGTCTTATAAGTAAATATTCTGCACTTGTTTTTAATATTGTATTATACTGTTCTGAACTGTTTAATATTGTATTATGCCCCTCCTCATTTTGTTTTATTACATAACGGATTAAATGTCCTCCCTTATCCAATTAAATGCATACCCAATGCACCCATAGACTATTTAAATGAAGAATTTTAGCAACATGTACTATTACAACAACTGATATACTGTTTACCTGAAAAAGTGTTTGTCTTTTCCCTTGAAAATATGGTTATTGCAATTTGGCACTGAGCAGGTGAATAAGGTTTTCATCTCAGGGATACGATCATCCTAAGAAAGGAGACAAACATTTGTAATAGGCAACACCGATTTAAGCAGTCTATAATGCACTAGTACAGTTTAAGGCCATTAAGCAGGACCTTCCAGCTCTCTGAGGGTTCTAGGGGAGACAGTGAGCGGCACACAGCAAACACCAAGTAAGAAGTCAAACCATTCTAAAACAGTTTGACTACTTACAGTGGAAGTGGTGAAGAGCACCAGGCCACTCCTGGCACAACAATGGCTATGGTGTTTGGAGTGTTCCTTTAAATTTAATTTGGAGTTCCTAGACCAATGAACTGCCTATTACATACCTCTCAACTTCGACAGTCTACAAACTGGGACGGCGGTGGGAGGGGTGTAAAGGAGGCGGGCTAGTGCGGTGATTATGTCACTGGCTCCAACCAATGAGGTGACAGACCCACCTGGAAAGGAGGGCAGGTTTGCCTACATTACTGGCAGGTCAATCTGGTGTAAATACACCAACAACTGACTGACCATCTTGCAAGCTCAGCCATTCAGAGAAGACCCTGCAGGGAGCACTGTTTCAGTGCTTGTGACGGACCACCTGGCACCCCGACCGGGTGCCTCCACCAATCGATGCTCCTAGTGTTCACTGAGGACTTCAAATACTCCACGAGACACCATCAGCACCGTAGTCCCCACTTCCAGTGCTACAGCTTGGCTGGGGTCTTGCCTCCTACACCCACCCTGGACCCAAGACTAGGATCCAGATTCCAGTGGGCAGACCTCTCGTAGCATGAACAGCTCTTAAAAGAGCTAGTGATTATAGAACTCCAAAGAGCAATCCCAAGAGCATGGATTATAACAGGTATAGCTTTCCTCTAGAAGCATGTGACAAGGCTCTGTGTAAACTGGAACAGATTTTAATGGTGCCACACTTGGCCTTATATGACAATCCCCATGCAAGGGTTACGCCAACATGGACCTTGTTGGGGACTCCAACACACAGTCACAGACCAATCATAACAGTGTTTAAACGCATGACACTCCCATAACAAACATACAATTCATCCCCTCTGCCTGGGAGATAATGGATTCAGATACTGTATTAACTCAATTATCTCCAGGAAGAAAAAACATATTTTTATAAAATCCCAAAAGTACCCCAAAAAACAAAAAATCCCCACAATTCTGGGTGACCAACATATCCCCCTGATCTGGGTGACCAACATATCCAAAAATCACCCAGATCAGTTCAGGGGTTCAGGAATTTTATGGAAGTCACATTTTGACTGACCGCACACATGGTTCCATGCCCAAAACAGTTCCAGAGTATTAGGCTGTGCGGTTGGTCTACTTCTGGGATTCGAAGTAACAATAAAATACAGAACATAGAGAGTTTGTATGGCACTTAGTCTATGTCTCTCCTTTGAGAGTTTGTTCTTACCGAAAGCTGTTCGAATAGCCGAACATCCATGGAAGGTAAGTAGTGAGCGGTGTTCATGCCGTCGAGTGTCCCATTTGAGTTCCATGAACTCAATGACCATACACCGCTCATTGTACTCGTGGCTTAAGATGGCCGCTGCCACATGTTCAAATGCTGCTTTGAACCACTTCAAAGTTCGAAGTGTTCCTTGTATAAGTTCAAAAGGGCACAAACAGTGTTTTTAAACAAAGTCTATTACAGGGGCCAGAGGCTGTCAAACAGGCCCCTCCAAGAACCAGTGTCAAGGTTACTTTTGCCACAGTGCTCTTTACAGGATCATAGCGCGAGTGTGTCTAATGTTGTGCTAGTGCTAAGATTGTTTAGACAGTTCCTTGGTGTTCCAAAAAGCAGGAGACCAGGTTGGGACAAACTCCCCTTCCCACGTGAGTTTGCCACAAGCTCCTGGGGGAGCCTGCTTGCCAGCCTCCTGCCCACAGACTATGGGCCCTGTAATATCCACCATCGCCTAAGTTCGGTTCTACAACACTTAGGAGGACACTGGTGGAAACGTTCCCACAAACAAGGGGAACAAGCTCCAGGGTAAGACTATTGACTATGTTCGGTTTTAAACTAGCAAACTAGCCCAACCATTAGCCCTGATCTTATGGAACTGTTTTGGGGAGGAGCCTCGTGTGCGCTTGGTCAAATTAGGACTTCCAGGAAATTCCCGAACCCCTGAACCAATCTGGATGATTTTTATATATGTTGGTCACTTTGAACTTTTAGGGGGGGTTTATTTATTTTTAAGGTATTTTTGGAATGTCTGTGAATGGTGTTTTTTTGTGTCTGGAGATAATGTAGTTATTATTATTGCCATTTATATAGCGCCAACAGATTCCGTAGCGCTTTACAATATTATGAAAGGGGGGATTTAACTATAGGACAATTACAAAAAACTTACAGGAACGATAGGTTGAAGAGGACCCTGCTCAAACGAGCTTACATTCTATAGGAGGTGGGGTGTAAAACACAATAGGACAGGAATTTACTATCAGATAAGGTGGGATTGAGGCAGAGCTGGAGGAGAGAGTAGAGTGCTGCCCTTTAGGAGAGAGCAGGAGACAGGTATGTGAGGTAGAGGTTAGTGTGGGAGGCCATAAGCTTTCCTAAAGAGATGGGTTTTAAGGCACTTCTTAAAAGATGCAAGACTAGGGGAGAGTCTGATAAAGGTAGGCAGGCTATTCCATAGGAAAGGAGCCGCCTGCGAGAAGTCCTGCAAGCGTGAGTTGGCCGTACACGTGCGAACAGCGGACAGGAGGTGGTCACGGGCAGAGCGGAGAGACCGAGAAGAGACATACCTATGGATCTGTGAAGAGATATAAAAGGGGCTATAATTGTTCAGTGCTTTATAGGTGTGAATTAGTACCTCGAATTTACTCCTATAGCATACAGGAAACCAATGTAAGGCCTGACAGAGGGGTGAGGTGTGAGAGAACCGACTATTTAGTTCAGTTCCTGACTCAATTATCTTAGGCACAGGGGAGGAGTTTGGGACTGGTAACTTGTCCCCTCTCAGGTCCAGGAGAGGGATAATCTTGTTTGTGTGGGAGTGTCAGGGGCAAGCTTAACTGTGTCTAGAATTGTGTCTAGAAAACCAGGCCAACTGGCCAGATTAAAATATTCCAGTTTTTACTCCCAGAACTATGTGTCGTCTGGTTACTGGAAGGGGAAAGGACTATTCTTTAATCACTGTTCCAGTGTGGATGATTCAACAGGGAAAGTCCTTGTAAGGACTAGAGCTCTCAGGACTGAGTGTCGTCCAGTGCCTGGAGGTGGATAGAGTGAGTTCCCCATTTGGCCCCAGGAGGGAGCGGTTCCAAGACACCAGTCAAGCCACGGCCACTCTGGGCAGAAGTGCTATGGTTTGTCCCCTGTTCTAGCTAAGAAGTTGTCCTTGGCGGAGGTACCCAGCCAGGGGTACAGGGAGCTCCGTTACAAGGGAAGTAAGTCAAGGCATCTAGCAACCAGGAAGTGCCTCTAGTGGCTTTCTGGTTTACAGCCACAAGTGGCAGTTTTAGTCCTGCAATGTATTTATTGCAGTTTCTTAAAATGTGCAATGATTTACATTGCAGGACTAAGGGGAATAGGGACATTGCACCTAGACCACTTCAATGAGATCAAGTGATCTGGGTGCCGATAGTGTCCCTTTAACTTTTGAGGCTAATTTATGTTATGTGAATTTTTACTTACAGAAAGATTCATATATATTTCAGCTACAACCTTTTGCTTTATTTTTATTGATTAATAATATTCTTTGAGATGTGCTTTATGGTTTAAATGTAATGACATATAAACAATCTGTTTTTTTCTTATAGGATATATGAAGATTTTCCATATATGGCGACTTTCCCTTACTGCTACCTGCAGTGAGAGAGTCTCAAGACTCTGTACAGTTCTCAATGTAACTGCAGTTGACTGGGGCAACATGTGAATCACGGAGAAAATAATAATGATATACATTTTGAAGTGCACACAATATTTGTTTTTTCTTTAACCTTTGTGTCTAATAAAGCCTCAATCACTGCTTTGTGCAGAATAACAGAGGAGTATAATTAAACGGTTTTTAAAAGTACACAAAACTGCAGTTTTCTACTAATTACTTTATTTGATTTCACTGAAATCTGGTGTTTACTGATGTTTTTCATGTGGAAGACAAGCAGTAAAAAAAAAAATCTAATCTGATTTTTCAAAAATTATTCAAAGCTTGTTGCAGCACCGACAACAGTTATGTAGAAATACATCACAAGCAAGCTCTCCACAATTATGTTGACGTTTTAGATAGGTGCATAGTTTAAAATGTACTAATGCGGGGGCGGGGTCTGGCCGCCGACGGGATCAGACGCATTCTGTCTGAGCTCCCGCTCCTAGGCCCAAAAGCCGGAGCAAATTGGAGGATAACCGCGACCGGAGGGTCCCACAGATGTCCACAAGGACCCCCAGTCACTGGGGAAAGCGGGGATGCCGCATGGGTCCCGGTCCGGCACCGACAGTAACCTGGCCGGGCTCGGAGTTCGTTGGGGCTTGAGCCAGGAAGGGACGGCCGCTCTCCTGGGTCTCCTGGCCGGCGGTTCGCGTCCGCCCCCCCCCCCCTGGACCGGGGGGGTCATCCCGGTCTGCAGAGGTACCAACCAGCACACCAACCTTGGCCCAATCAACCACCCTAGCAGGGAACATCACCAGGGCGACAGTACACAAGATGGCCGCCGAGCGCCGGCCATGTGCGCGAGCTGCCAGAGAGGTCAAGATGACGCTTGCTCAAAAATGAGGAAAACAACACAGTCAAAGAGAAAAGCACCCACTATTATCCTACCAGTCTACTACAGGGCAGTAAAACTCATGGACACTGCAAGTAGGATCAAGTCACACTCTCATGGAAGTGCCGGCAGCAGAACTCGCCTAGACAGCACTCACCACACAAGGAGACATGACAGAGTGAAGTGGGGAGGTTCACAGGTCCATGGACCGGAAAATCTCGGGGACCCACTAATGCTGAACGCTCTGCTGCAGCCCATCGGTGGTACTGTGTGATAACCGTATAAAGCGGCTCCTGCTAACACACAGCAAGATCATCTCCAGCAATGTAAAGACTCTTGTTATTCTTAAATACTCTTGTTATTCTCAATGTCAGTGTTACCCCCTTTCCATGATTACAGAACCCAGAGGTGTTAATAGCTCTGTGTCCCGATAACCACTCCTACCTAGCAACCACCTTGACTAATTAGCTCTGTTGGCCAGACTTGTCCCCTAGCACTGTTTTGTCTACCCATGCTATTGTATGACAAGCACTTAACTCATTGTGCTCACTTAGTCACCTGTGTAACATGTTAGGAAAGCAAGCCCAGGTGTACACATATATACCTGCATATAAACAGACTTACACCTGAACATCACTTATGATACATACTAAGCATGGACAGCTCATATCTCACACTCACTGCGCCCACTAGCTAAACATGCCTAATTAACCTGTTCATTAACGTTGAAACTCTGCTCTTCATGCGTCATTACTAGCCTAGTCTCGAACTACTTAAGCCTGTGAAATGTACTTTGTCAGTCTATACCATATTCAAAATGTGCACTGTCCAATCACTCCCCACTGTATCTATTGTTGTTGAAATTAGCGAGTGGACTGCCGGTGGGGTACCACAAGCATTACTGTTCCAACTGTATGCACTACAAAAATAAAGAATTATAAAAAAAAAAAAATGTACTAATGCCACTTGAATCCTAATTACAGTAAGTTTTAGCCTACATTTAGGTTTTGTTCTATGTATTTGCATTTTTTTTCACAATGTCCTTTAATTGTGGCCATTAAAGGGAACAGGATAGAAAATGCAGAAGTTCATGGCCTGGGCATGACAAAAAGGTGACAAATTACCCAATATGTGAAATGTTCCAAAAATATGCAAATGGAAAGCTATAACAGGGAATGGTGTGCAAAATAAGAGTGAGATGGGTGGTGAGATGGGGAAAGGATTCAATAATGGTGGGAGGGATGTTTGTTCCTGTTAAAGAGATTTGTTTTTAATCTCTTCCTAGAAGGATACACTGAAATAGATACGGTTGCTGGGTCAATTAATGGTTTTATGAAGCACTCAAAACACATAACAGTTTGCACAGCGATGCCACTCAGCATTAATATTACACCTTGCTGTAGTGGTTATACTGCCTTGAGATTTACAGTCTCTGGCTAGAAGCAGGACTATGTTTTTATTTGCGTTCACCTGCAACTTGCGGGATAATTATTAGGAGGTGGCAATACAAATGCAAAACAAAAATTGGTGTTTGTTGGTGCTTGTTTCTGCCATAAATAGGGTATAAGGCTGACTAACACCGAAAAAGTTATCAAAACTAATATTGGTCCATAGTAGCCATTAAAACCCTCCCTCGTTTCTATGCACAACCAGAAAAAAAAGAAAAAAAAAAGAAAAACTTTTGAAAGCTCGCAGGATTTGTGGGGACCCAGGATTATTGGCACAATGAACAAAAAAACAAACAAACAAACAAAAAAAAAAAACTTGTGGCCATTTGTACTCCCTGGTAGTTACCTAGAGCCCAAGCCTGATGAGTGCCTTATCCGTCTAAATCCACCCTATGTACAGAGCGTTGGACAGTAATTATACTAGATAGGAGCACTAAACTAGCCAACAACCCTTTTTTCCAGCTCATGTGCAGTGTGTGGAGGTTAAAGTAAAACGGCCCTTAATTTTTAATCTTTGGTCAAAAGATCACAAATAAGGTCATCGCTCAATGAGTATGAATAGCAAGCTGGCCAAAGAGAAAAGTAAAAATACATATATATGACTTGAAGCCCACTTGGTTACCTTATAACTCAGTAACCAATGACAACTGGGTGGGAGGAGAAGTTCTGACCTAATCTCTAATCTTCCCTTTCACTCAAATATTGAAGTGTGGACACACACCACTTTACTAACAGTATGTCTGTGTGCGTTAGTTGAGTAGTTCCTGGCATGCGGTTCAGGAGTAATGACATAGCATCAAGGTCGATATGGACGACTCAGGTCCCACACCCTATTTTCTTTAAACTAGCATTCAGACTTCAAAACCACTTTATGTTACCTGATCACTCCTTTTAGCCTCCGTTTCATTACATTTTATTGGTACTTGTGTTTTGTCTGTCTCAACACTCTTTTTCCTTTTAACTCGCTCTTTTAAATGTTTGGTAGGCTTCTCAAAAACGGAAGGCACTGCATCAAGCCGCAGCCGGGGGATCATAGCTCCTGGGCGTAGCATGTAATCTTTGTCTGTAAAGTGATCACTGCAGATTCGGCTTGAATCTGATGGTTTCCAGTTTTTACGTTTGATTGCTGCAACCCATTCTGACAAGCGCTCAGGATCTTTCATTGGAAACCTACAGAATATTTAGAAACTTAGGTTGTAATGTAAAATACATACATTTTACATTATATAAAAATACCATCTCCACATACATCTCGCAAATTATTACTTAGTCTCATGTTTCTAGACAAAACCAATGGATTCAGTTAGAACAACGTTCACTTGCTATCTTTCTAGCTAACTACCAGAGTTACTCAATGCATTTCGTAGACATTTAGCAAAATGAAATCCCCTTTTACAATTCACAGCCTCTGGCAATCACATCAATCCACACATTTCCTATCTACACTCTGCACCCTGCTTTTACCCCTTTCCGGGACTTGCTTCGCATTGTTGTTGTGGACTGCAACTGTGACTGGGGTCTGAGTGGTTTGCAAATAGTATAGGCTATCTCAGTAACGGCACATATGAGCTAACGTGCTAAAGTCTTAAGCAGGGACTAACAGAAGGGTAAGTTTGTTGAATTTGTTTTCTGTTTATAAAATATGCCTGTTGACATTAAAAATTATGAATCATATTCCATACTACCTGAAAGCTCTTGTCACCATATATGTAATGTTATTACCTTCAAGTGAACCGGTCATGACATATACAGGTTTTCAGTTTTCTAACCATCTGTTAGACTCATGTTATACAATTAAGTGTCTCTTCCCTTAATACTGTTAAAAGCTCATATTTTCATTTCTTTCCATTACCCCTGTTTCCTGCTGAGAGCACCAATCATGTTTTCAGTGGGTATTACTCAAGCACACATCTCCTGCATACCATTTTTGAGAAGAAAAGAAGAGGTTAAAAGCCCCCAACACTGAATGCTGGCTTTATCTTTATGTAAATAAAACGTATCTGATCTCTCTCTTTTCTCAGATTGCCTGCCCAAACCTTCTGCAATAAATCATTCTAGCTCTTTCTCTTCTGCTGCTGCTGCTCTCACACAGAGCCTGACCCTCTTACCTCCTTCTCTTTGCAGGCATTGCTTTCCCTTACAAAAGTTTTAAAAATACTATAAGTGACAACTTATGTAAAATAGTGGAGCATTTAGAAACATGCAAATAAAATATTCTTACATTTGCCAATATTTGGGTAAGTAGAGATATTCACCAGCATGACAATATCTCTACTTACACAAATATTGGCAAGGGTAAGAATATTTGCATGTTTTTAGGAGCTCTACTATTTTGCATAAGTTTTTCACTTATCATATTTTCTTAAATTTGTGTATTTTATTGTTGTGGGAAAGAAGGTATCTCTGCATGAGTGTTTTAGAGCTGCTGTTTGTTAGTATACATTTTAAGTGCTTATTGTTGTCACACTTCCTCTTTTAGAGGTTAATTTGATTGCTTTCCCTTAGGCTGAGAACAATCAGGATAACGTCCCAGAGGAGGGTTTTTCCTAATAACATACATGCAGAGCACAGCCTTATTATTTCTGTCACAATCAACACAGACTGAATTGACTGCAATGAGTGTCCCTTTAATGTGATGTTTGGATTGCTATTAATTTTACATTATAGATTTAGCGAACAAGATCAAAATGCAACTTAGCCCAGGTACAGACTGGGAGGGCACACATTACAAATTAGGTAATGAATAGAAACATCTTTTAATTTCCCCTTTCCTCTATATGCTGAAAACCAGGTGCAAAAGGCTGATCGTAAAATAACCAATGACAGAGAAGCAAGATGGAGCTGTCCAATTTCAGGATAAAGAGGTGATGATTTCTACTTCTCGCACTTCACAAATACAGTTGTAATAAAAATTATTAAATCCCCATTGAAAATCAGGTTTATTGTCAAAATCTATAGACTTTCTGCTGTTTGCAATGTACAAATCAAACAAAAGTAATTGAAATACCTCAACACAATGAATGCTTCAAGTGATTTCCCCAAATTCAGCTGAAAAGGCAACTTATATATTTTTATAATTCTTTATTTTTGTAGTTCAAAACATTACAACAATCTCACAATGCTACAAAAGCTAATGTAAGCATTTCGAATTAGACAATGTTAAGGCATTTGATACAACTGCACATTTTTACAATATAATAAACAGGCTAGGTCTACATAGGAAAATATATAATACTAGATAAACATGTTGCTCGTTGTCACAAGATTGCACAAGTCTCTCTTTTTGTTAGAGTAAGTAAAATAACCAGTAGTCGATATCTACACTTAGACAGGAATAGGCTATACATAGCATGGACGTTGTGTTGCAGTTTACTGTGACAAACACTAAGAAGATAATATAGGCATGGTGCCACTGGGTAATGGCAGGTAGAGGAGTGTTAGGCAAATCAACAAACATCAGTGCTGAGCATATCATTAATTAAACTTTTTTCGGCAACAGGTGAACAGGAGCAGATGTTGTTGGCTGAGATCAACCCACACCACTTGTGGGCCATAGCAGAGAGTCTGTCTTCGTCCCAAGGTGTTTTGTCCCCCCTGCTCCACACAGGGCATGTCAGGCAATGCCATATGTGCAGCAGGCGGGTGGTCAGTAGCTCGGAGTGCAGCAGTTCCCGGTAGCTACGGCTCCGGACAGTGGAGGGTGCAAGTGCCCTTAGTCCATTGATCCTCCTGCTTTGAGCGGCTGGATCATGGGCCCGCAGGTTTTCTGGAGTGCAGGCTTCCCCGCGGGAATATGGACTGCAGCTTGGAGAGAATTCCATTTGGGGGCCCAGCCCAGAAGAGGAACAGACACTGCTTCCAGGGTTGTCTGCGGCACAGGAAGGGTAACTGAGGGTTGTCACTTGGCTAGACAGTCCCAAAAGGCCTGACAGAGTGCATCAAATCTTTTGTTGAAGGCTTCTCTCCAATCTTGGCCTGTCAGGCTCTGCTGGTTATGCTGCAGTTTCAATGCGGCGGCCATCTTGGGCAAGCCTCGTGGCTTTCAGGGTTCCTCCATCCAATATTCTCGGAACAGGCTTAGCGGACCCAGTGGGGACCGGGAAAACCCCCACCAGTCTGGAGAGGGGGACCAGCAACAGATTGTGTTGAGGGCCTGGTGTGTAGCAGGTGAGCATTAGAGAAGGGCATTGGCCGTCTGCCCCACTCTCAGCCCGAATAAGTCGCAATTCAGGAGGCCTCGAATTGCCCTCAAAGGAGCCAAAATTCCCAGTCCCGAGTGCAGGAACAACACCAGCAGTTGGTTGGGCCTCAGATTTCTGACACATGAGGAGTGAAAACTGCCCTGTTATTAGTGATAAAAGGCTGCTACCCTCAGGAGCTGATCTAACCTGTGACCTGTCACCATGGCGGTCCGGCCCCACGCCCCTGAAAATGCGACTTATAATGACTTCTCCAGTCTCAAAATGATTCAACCCCCTAAATGGAATCCATCAGAACAGCATATATATGCAATACAGGTGTTGTTATAAGCACACGTGATGCAACTAATCAAGGGCTTCAGGTGTGCTTGAGCTGGAACACTTGAAATACCTGAACTGGCTAGGGGTTTCTTGAGTGTCACGTTGGAGTGCATGTTAGAAATATGGCTAAGTCAATAGAATGGTCCTCAAAGTTAAGAGAAGAGATCATCGCCTTTAACAAACAAGGAACAGGATACAAAAAGATAGTGAACTGAATGTTCTTAGAGACACCGTTGGAGGCATAGTTTGCAAGTTTAAAGTTGAAGGAATTGTAGTTACACTACCTGGATGGGGCAGAATAAGGAAGCTATAAATGGCTACAACCAGATTTCTGAGAAGGCAGGTTGTGAAAATCTCACTGACAGTCACTAGAGGCCGCTTCCGCAATTCTCACTGTGAAAATCACAGTGAGAAGAAACGCTGACGTCCATAGGAAAGCATTGAGTAATGCTTTCCTATGGGCGGTTTGAATGCGCGCGCAGCGTCGGAGGAGGTGGAGAGGGAGCCCGGCGCTGGAGAAAGGTAAGTAGCTGAAGGGATTTTAACCCCTTCAGACCAGTGGGAGGGGGGCCATGAGGGTGAGTTTGTTTTCCTGGCACTATAGTGGTCCTTTAAGCATTTTGGTGGCTCTGTGATGCTCTGAGGCTGCTTTGCATCCTCTGGCATTGGAAACCTGCAACATGTAGTAAGCAAAATGGATTAAGTATTAGGAAATCCTAGGAGAAATCGTCATGCCATCTGCGAGTAAGCTGAATCTTGGGCATCATTGGACCTTCCAACGAGACTATGATGCCAAGCATACCTCAAATTCCACCAAGGCTTGGTTGCAGAAGAAGTCCTCGAAAATTCAAAAGTAACCATTACAGTCACCTGACTTGAACCCCATAAAAAATCTCTGGTGGGATTTGAAGAAGGTGGTTGTAGCACGCAAACTCAAGAATATTAATGAACTGGAAGTCATTGCTCATAAATAATGAGCTAAGGATCCTCAGGAACGCTGCCAGAAGATCATGTCTGGCAATGTATCTTTCCTGGTAAAATATTTTATAAATAAATTTGCAGCACATCATAACAGCAAAAGGGTGCTCTACTAAGTACTAAACGTGCTTGCCGGGAATGGGTTGAATAATTTTGAGACTGGTGAAGTCATTATAAGTTGCATTTTCAGTTGAATTTCGGGACACCACTTGAAGCTTTCTTTGTGTTATTTCAATTACTTTGTTTGATATTTTCATTGCAAACAGCTGAAAGTCTGTACATTTTGACAATAAACTACATTTTCAATGGGGGTTGAATAATTTTGATTACAACTACATGGTTGTTAAAGGGACTTTCCAGTGTCAGGAAGACATTTCTGTTTTCCTAGCACTGCAGGTTCCTGCAGTGCCCCTCTCCCTCCCACCCCCATCCCATGTTGCTGAAGGGGTTAAAACCCCTTCAGTGTTTTACGTGAATCCAGCTCTCCCCCCGCCAACGTCAGCCGGCAGGGGAGACGTAATGTGCATGCTCGGCAATGGCCACGTGCACATTAGACCTCCCCGTAGGAAAGCATTATTCAATGCTTTCCTATGGGATTCCAGCAACGCTTGAGGTCCTCATGCATGCGTGAGGACGTCCAGCGTAGTTTAAAACACATTTTATGT